ATGCAAAAAGTCGTCCCAACTTATGTTTCACAACTCGTCGAGGGATATTTGCAAAAGATTCAAGAGGTTTGCTTGTAGTTTATCATTGAAAAAAACTCATTCAGGGAGTTCGAATGAGAGCTTCAGTGAGTCTCGTCTTCGATAACGGTTATTATATTTTGGTGGACTCACCCTCGGCGACTGATGTTGATGCTAAAGGGGACATGCTCAGAGGTGAGAAGGAATTGCTAATAGAATAATAGACTTTCTAGTCTTTTCGTTCCTTTTTCGTACTTTCGTTTAAAACCAACAAATGCACCAATTGAACGGTTTATTTTATTAGAAAATGTAATTATTTTTCTGCAAAATAACATTAAAAATGGGTTTAAAATGTCTTAAATCTGGATTTTTTGGCAGCAAGAAGTCGGGTTTTCAAAAAGGCTCGATGATGACAGCTCCATGACAGCTCCAGGCTCGATGGCGGCTCGATGATGCGATTTAGCCACTTTAGCTAAGGAAACCTATTTTAGTGTCAATAGATAAAAGTTAGAGCATAAAAAGTTAGGTATAAAGCTAAATTTTCAGCGAAATTGAGTCAACCAATCTCTTCGTAGAGGTTTTTATCGAAAAACACGTTTAGCACCTTGAAAATGCGACCTTGAATTTGCTTGAAAGTGAGCTAAAATTGACTTAAAAAGATGGAAATTGAACAAGAAACACTTTTAATTTAAATTTACATTTAATTTAAAGTAAACTATAGGTTAATTGATGAATTTTTGGGAGTGGGACAAATGCGACCTTTTTTTTGCGCACCTGGACATTTGCGCACCTTTTTTTTTGCTGGAAAAGGCCTTAGGAAAGGTCGTAGAGCTTCAAAAATGTTTTCATAGAAGGGAATCGTATGCGTAGATTCCGAATTTCGACAAATCAGACCTCGCTGACACGTCAAATTTGGGCTAAAAGGCAAAAACTACGCAACTTAACGCTTTTCCGCAGCTTTTGCCTTTTAGCCCAAATTATTATTATTATTTAATTTAAAACACGCTTAAGGAAATTTGGGCAACTTTTGAAACGAATTTGAGCAGAAATTGAAGTTTTTCTGAAAATTCTTCAAACAGACATATAACTAAAGCGATTAGACAAATCAAGCTGAGAATTCGGCTATATACCGAACTTTTCATGCTCTATCTTTTTTTCTATTAACATGAAAATAGGTTTATGCGGAAGAAAGTGCTCAAATCACTTCATCGAGTGTTCATCATTTTTGGTTCCTCAACTTCTTGACCCCTAGAAACCCAGAAAATCGAAGCTTTTCAAAAACAAAATCAAAATCTGTCAAAAGCCTGTTTTGGAGGATAAATAGACCTTTTTATTGGTGAAAAATGTAGATTAATTGGTGCACTAGTTGTTTCTAAAAAGTACAATCAATAAGTGCAATCAATAAGTGTACCAACTTTCAAGTTGCTAATCTAATAGAATCATAGAATCAAAATCCACAATGGATAATGTGCTCAATTAAAAATTTAGGGTTGACTCAAAGAAATCTCGCTCCGGGAAACGTTCAGCTAATCGTCACCACCCACGGTCATCCTGATCATTTTGGTCAGGGGAATTTCTTCCCGAATGCTCGTCATTTCTTCGGCAGCTATGAGTATTCTGACGACACCTACATTCAAACAGAGCTCACCCACGTTCGTTTCTTATATTTTTCTAGAAATTGCGTCAAGTTGAGCATTCCATTGTCGCTTTTGTTTGTCTTTTGTCGGGAATGAAAAGGAAACACGTCCGACAAATACCTCTCCTTCTAGACATTTAACAAAGCCACTCGTCAACAAGAAAAACAATAAGGAAATTGATTGGGGAATGAGTGTTAAAGTCGGATGACCTAGTTTATTAAAAACTTTGGTTCATATCTAATTTAAAGTGAGTATTGACTAGTTGAGACTAGACATGGGAAATTCCAACTCAAACCTAATTCCATCTTCATTTCCTCAGCCTATTCTCAGCCGATTGCTCTGAAATTTTGTCTACAAGCTGAAAATGTTGTTTTCTATCTGTAGACAAATTTTCAGAGCAATCGGCTAAGAATAGGCTGAGAAAACGAAGGTGGGATTAGGCTCGGCTTGGAATTTCTCCATGCCTAGTTGGTACTAATCCTTTCCTGAAAAAATTGAAAATGTTAATGTTTAGCGTTAATGATTAGCTTTATAAGAAAACTAGGCAACGAAAATAACCAAAAAAACAGTTAAAACAACATACATTTGACACTTCAATTGAGTTTTTTTGAGAACTGAAAATTTTCATGGAAACGATCATTCAAAAGGATCTTTTTTTGTAATTTCAAATATTTTAATTCAAAATTAAACCTTTTTTGAATAAAAATTCAGTTCTTAAATTGATTTTAGAACTCTAAAATTGAAAAAGAATTTAGAATGATAGCATGAAGATCACGCCAAACGTCGAGCTATGGAACACGCCAGGACACACGAATCAGGACATTTCCGTGATTATACGAAATGTCCCATGTTGTGGAACGGTTGCTGTTGTAGGTTGGAAATTGTTTAGTTTTTAATAAAAATTAGGAAGAGAACCTTCTCCATTTCTTTGCATTCTCCATTTCATTGCATAAGTTGAAACATTTAATAGAATGTTTCCAAAATTGTAAAGGACAGGCAACCTATCCCTCTTTTTCGAGATTTATTCAAAGTTAATCCCACGGTTAGTTCAAGGAGAGGTTCTTTCGTTTTAGAAATTTCAGTCAACTCGAATAAGTTTTTGTATAACTCTTTTCCAATAAGAACTGCCAGAATTTGGAATCGACTCCCCAGAGTTTTGAGAGAGTCCAATAGTCTTAAAGCCTTTAAATCTGTAGATGATCTTGATCTTGAAGCTCTAGTGGATTCTTGATGTTATCTGTGCTACCCATTACATACCTTATATCGTAATCTTTTTCATCGGCCCTTTTCGTGTTATGTGTATGAGCTCGTGTTTTAATCTTAAATCTAGCGCGCTTTCTTTCAGATCCCGAATAAAGTATCTATATATACCCCTCGACGAGTTGTGAAACGTAAGTGGGGACGACTTTTTGCATTGGCTATACATAGAACTGAAATTGGTACCACTGATAATGAATATTGAATAAAAGATAAAAACCTATTCCTCTTTTTTGAGATTTATTCAAAGTTAATCCCATGGTTAGTCCCCAGTTCATTCCAGTTGTTCAAGAAGAGGTTCTTTCGTTTTAGAAATTCCAGTCACCTCCAACCTTCCAATTTTGTATATAACTCTTTTCCAATAAGAACTCCCAGAATTTGGAATCGACTCCCGAGAGTTTTGAGAGAGTCTAACAGTCTCGAAACCTTTAAATTCTCTGTAGATGATCTTGATCTTGAAGCTCTAGTGAATTCTTGACGTTATCTGTGCTACCCATTAAATAAATTATATCGTATTGCTTTTTATCGGCCCTTTTCGTGGTATGTGCATGAATTCATGTGTTTTAATCTTAAATCTAGCGCACTTTATCTCAGTTCCTGAATAAAGTATCTATATATTTCCGTGATTATACGAAATGTCCCATGTTGTGGAACGGTTGCTGTTGTAGACTGGAAATTGTTTAGTTTTTGATTTGAAAAGTCGAGAGAAAACCCTCAAAATTCTCCATTTCATTGCATAATTTTTACAGGAGATCTCTTCTACCACGAGCAAGACGCGATCAACGGAACTGACTGGTATTCGGATGCTTGGAATCCACTAATTGGTATTTGCCTTTTAAAACTTATAATTTACATTTATACTTTTATTTTGATAAAAGTATAAATGTAAATTTTACGATGTTTTTTTTAATCTATTAGGTTGAAAAGAAAGTTCTCGGAAAAAGTTTGCACAGTGATTTCTCAAAAATGAAGCCATCAATTCTTTCCAGATTTTTTTTGATAAACTTGATATTTCAAAAAGTTTCAACAAAAAAAATCAGCTGGACTTCAAGTAAAAACAAATAAGAGATTTCTTCAGCGGAAGTGACTGCTCTGGTCACTTTTTGAGTGACCAGCCTTTAGACAAGTTTTTAATTGATTAATGGGTAGGTAATGAATCTCATTCTAAACCTAAAATCAAGCACTTAAAATAGGGAAAATTTGTGATTAAGGCAAATTTTGATTAAGGAAATCTAATGCTTTAACTTTTCAGAATCACCTATTTTAGCAAAACACTCAGTGCCAAGAAGATGACACGAAAGAATCATTTTTTGAAATACAGCTTCTCTGTCAAAAATTGTTTGGCCAAAAATCGAGATTATAGAGCGTATTGCTTATTTATTTTAGATTTACCCCATAAAGAAGTGAAGGAATTGGCAAGGAAATGTAGATTTCTAGAGAGGGGATTAAACCCTCGGCCTTTTGCTATCCGGGCAATGACTCGAACGACTAAGCTATCCGGTACCTTGCGTATAGAGTGTATTGCTCATTTATGCTAGCTTTATCTCATAAAGAATCCTTTTTCTCGTGCAAAAAGTGAGCTGAAGTTAAGCTCGAAAATAATCATTTTTTTTAAAATCTTTAAAATTTTAAGGGAAAGCTGCACTCATTTTTTTAAAGAGTAATTTCTTGGAGTCGATTTGTAAGTAATAGAATGTTCTTGAATTCATGGATTCGTTTTTTGAGAAATTCCAGTGAAGCTTTTTCCAAGGACTTTCTTTCCAACCTAATAATACGCTTAATTTTAGGCAAAGTCAATCGAAACAAAATTGTTTGCTCATCGAACTACATTATTCCCGGACATGGTCACGTGTTTAGGTAAAATCGTGAAACGAATTTGCATTTATAGATTTGTTTAAATGTTTAAAGAGTTTAAAGTTTAATTTTGATTCTAATGTTAAAAACAATGTTTAAAAGATGTACTTGGGTTTAAATTGTAAATGGTGTTCTGGTGTACTCAATGCTTCACCAAGAAAGAGCAAGCGTTGAGAGCAAGACGTTTATTTCCGTTTTTGAGTTCAAAGAATATCATAAAGTTAAGTTATCCTTTACGTACGCTAAGTTATCATAAAGTTATCATAAAGTTCAGAAAACATCATTTATCCTTTACTCAAGACAATCAAATTGCTTAGAAAGTTTGTTAAAATCGTATTTTTAGAGTTACTGAAGAGATGCGAGTTAACGCTGATTGCCCAAGTAATTCTACACTCACCTCCACCTCGCCTCATGTTGATATCACCACTCTTAAAGGAGTAAGTTGTTATTATTAGCTTAGATTAACCCTGGGAATTGTGAACGTCAATAGGTGTAAAGTGTGAATGCCCAAGAATGCTCAATAAATGCCCAAAAAGTGTAAGCATCAATAGTTGCTATGTCTGCTATGCTATGTCTGTTTGCTATGCTTTGTCTGTCTGCTATGCTATCTCTGTCTGTTATGCTATGTCTGTCTGCTATGCTATGTCTTAGTCAATCTCAGCCAAGCCAAATCCTTTATATCTCGCATCAGCACCAATTGACCAGATTCTGATCCCGAACTCGAGAATGAAAAAGATGGCCAGCACCACTTCCATAATGAAATTGACATTGTAGAACTCAAACAGGGCTTTTTTTTAAAGAAAATTTCATTGATTTAGTATACCACTTGACAACACTTACTTACCAAGAGATTGGAAAAGGTTTCTACAACGAAATATATTAGTTTTCGAGTTTTCGGTGTGAACATCAATAGGTATCCAACGGAAAAATGCCATTGCTTGGCCAATTTCCCTACAATCTTTTTGTCTTGGATTTCAATCGATAGAATATTAAATTCTGCGTTTATTGATATCAAAATCAAAAGAATCGGAGTGAAATTTACTGAGATATGCTATTTTTCAGTTGCACACCGATTGCATATTGCTTATACCGTTGCACGGCTATCGAAAATTCCCAGTTTTAGAATAGATTCTGACCTAATTGATTGGATTTCATTTCAACTCACAGTTTTATCATCCGGACTTGCATCAGCTAAAGCACCAACAATAACAGAGATCAAAACAAACACGAAAATACCTAAAGATTTCTGTTTTTCGTTTAATTCTTGAAAATTTTATAGAATTTGTTAGATTTTATAGATTTATATGTTTATTAGATTTATTAGATAAAGAATTTATTAGATTCTTGTCAACTTACTGAAATGATATGGGAAATTTGAAGCCGATCGGGGATGGTCGAGGAAATGGTAAACGGCAAAGCGGCGTCGTTTATACTCACGCTCGTAGTCTAGAGTTTAGCATGTAGATTTTCACATTTAGATTGAAGTTTTAGATCTAAAAGTCTCACTTAGGGTTTGGCTAAACTACTTAATTCCTTACAAAAGCTAGCTTTAATCAAAACAGTAGAAAATAGTCTCAAAGCAAAACAGAATCAATGAGAGTAACCCTTAAGGATCAAATGTGTAAAAATCGACTTTTTTCGACTTTTTTAATGAAAATATGAACTTTTTCTGATCAAATACAGTAATCATTTAGAGCTTTTAAGATTTTAATCAAAAAAGACCAACCAGTGAGTCGAATAGTGTCCCTTCTCGACACCGGATTGTCATTTGCCTCGAGGTCGAACGACGGAGGACCACTGTTCATAATATGCACTAAAATTTCCCATTGAAAGTCTTCATATCTTGAATTTTAAGTACAATGCACTACTTTTCAAGAATTTATTATATTCTTGTCAACTTACTGAAAAATTCATTGATTTAGTATACCACTTGACAACACTTACTTACCAAGAGATTGGAAAAGGTTTCTACAACGAAATATATTAGTTTTCGAGTTTTCGGTGTGAACATCAATAGGTATCCAACGGAAAAATGCCGTTGCTTGGCCAATTTTCTTGCAATCTTTTTATCTTTGATTTCAATCGATAGAATATTAAATTCTGCGTTTATTGATATCAAAATCAAAAGAATCGGAGTGAAATTTACTGAGATAGGCCATTTTCTCTTTGTACGCCTATCGGAAATTTCCAGCTCTAGTTCATATAAAGATTTAGGTATACTTTAATAAAGATTTATACGTAATACGATATTTGAGCTCAAAGTTAGATTGGCAAAAGGGGCGGGGTCAGAAAGATCTTTTATACACGCCCCGCCCCCTCTGCGATTGGACAATCTAACTTTGAACTGAAATATCTTTGTATTGGGCTGTCGAATTTAGATATTCTTGGTGCCATTAGATGCGCTAAATCTTTCTCTGTCGATTGATACAAAAACTGTTTAAATTGGACAGCCCAACACCAAGATATTTAAGCTCAAAGTTAGATTGGCAAAAGGGGCGGGGCCAGAAAGATCTTTTATACACGCCCCGCCCCTTTTATTTACATAAATGAACTTTAGAACCAACTCCCCACTCCTGCTCCAGAAATTCTCACCAACGACATTTTGAGAGGCGTCAGAAACAATGCAAAAACAACAACAACGACAGCGGCAACGACAACGTCGAGCACAACAACAACTACGCCTAAACCGACAACGACAAGTACTACAAGTACAACTACAACCACATCTATAACATCTACAACAACTACAACGAAAACCACAACGACAACGCCGCCAATGACAACCACGGTCATTCCAACGCTTGTACCCGACACGAGTGAGCTGAGAAGTGAGTGAAAAAAGTGGTTGACTGAGCTTTGTTTGTGTTTAGTAGACTTATCAAGGGCCCGGGTTTACCAAATTAATTACCATTTAGCAATTTTGCTAAATGGGTTTATCAGTTTAGCATTTAACAATTTGCAAAATGATTTAGGAATTCAAATCCGAATTGAATCAGAACCGATCAGATTCGAATTGAATCACAACCGATCAGATCCGAATTGAATCAGAATCGATCAGATCCAAATTGAATCAGAACCGATCAGATCCGAATTGAATCAGAATCGATCAGATCCAAATTGAATCAGAACCAATCAGATCCGAATTGAATTCAATTGAGCATGTAGCATTTAGAAACTTTGTTAAATGCTAAGTGCTAAATACCAATCTAGCTCTTTTTGCTAAATTTGACAGTTGTTGGACTCGGGCCCAGGGCTTTTCCGATTGAGAAGTCTAAAGACCTGTAAGCTAGGCGCTAAAAGTAAAGCCAAGATCTTCAGCAAAGCTAGGTCCGTCCAGGACTTGGCTTCCGGTGACTTGATCCAGAAAATTGATCTAGAAAAACTGTTTCCTTCAGAATCTTGTTTTATCCTTTGTTTCATTCTTTAGTTCAATTTTTGTTAGTTTTATTTTCAACTTCAATCATCTCTACGACACCAATCCCAGCCAAGTTCGAGAAAGACACAATCGCTTCACAAAAATCTCGGAAAGATGTGGGTGAAGTGGAGAATCTCGACGCGATCATTATGTTTCCAAGGACTGATTTTTGGGGTGCTCTTTTTCGTTTTCAGTTTTACTTTTAATTTCTTTTAGTTCAATTTTGGTTATTCCTTTTTTCAAGTAGCTCCCATTTTAGCACCGGCTGCGAAATATCTTCAACAAATCGCTGACGCTTCGACGAATGCGATACATTTAGTCATGCAGACGCCACCAAAGAAAATGAGTAAGCAAAAAGAAGAAGTGACGGTAAAAAGTTGGAAAAAGTTGGAAAAATTCTGTTTTTTTGATTCAAATACTAATTAGTTGATGTAGAATTTTAACTAAAAAAACCGGTACTTTTCCAATATCGGGGAAGCGAAAGGAAAATCGGGGGAGCAAATTTTGCCCCCTCGAAAAATGCATTTCCGGGACTGTATTTTAACTGCAACGTTTTTTTTAAACTTTAACGACGATGCGATATTTGTGCGTTCAAGGAATCCACGGCAATCGATTATTTCGTCACCAAAGGAGTCATCCAGTCGTGGATTTGCAACTGTGGCGAATCGATGAAAGTCCGCTTAAAGGGAAAAGATCTATTTCGCTGGGTATGTGACACTTGCGCACGGCGAAAGGTCCTCAAGCATTCAAGAGGAATTCGAGTCGATAACTTTTTGCAACAAAGCAAGTTCGTCACAATTTGTAGCGCTGCCAAAATTTGCTCCCCCGATTTTCCTTTCGCTCCCCCGATAATCCTTCAGCTCCCCCGATAATCGGACCGCTCCTCTGATATTGGAAAAGAACCAAAAAACCTTTCTGACAAAGTTCCCAATCAATACTAATGATTTTGAAACTGACAAAGCTTACCCAAAGTTTTGATTGATGTTCATGGTTTGATTTAATTATATTAAAACAAGGAAAAGCTAAGTTTTTGCATTGCTCTTCAGTAAGCTATCTGAAAAATCGTAATTGTGAATCTTTAGATAATGATATGAACGCTGGAATGATCGTTGGAACGGCGAATCGCCAAGCGAATCCCGCTTTGACACAAACCGTTTTGGAGACAGCCGGCAACTCGTATTTATTGCCACATGGAGCTGGTTAGATCATTTGAATGATTAAAATGAAAAATTTAGCTCCATCACAACAAAAAGAAAAAGAAAAGGAAAAGGAAAAGGAATACCCGCCAATTCCAATGGACGAGGTGCACAAGTACATAAAAATGGAGAGGGATGGACGGGATCCAAGTTAGTATCATGATTAACACATACACTACTGGACAATGAAATATCATATTTGAAAAAAGATCGTCGCTTTCGCGCGTCTGTAACTGCTATTCTATTCAAATTTCTGTCTACGAGGACATCCGATTGAAATCGTTCAATCCTTTCATTGTCTTATAGTCTGCAAACGACCTACACTACTGGACAATGAAATATCATATTTGAAAAAAGATCGTTACTTTCGTGCGTCTGTAACTCCCTTGTCTTTACCGTATTTCTAGATATTAATATTACCATTGTGTAGACCTTGAAAAGACCTTCCAGAAAATGTATAACACTAATAGTTTAAACTCAAAGACAACGGAGTTACAGACGCGCGAACGTGACGATCTTTTTTTCACATATGATATTTCATTGTCCAGTACTGTAGATGACCGCGTGACTCAATGCTGAGTTTTTCTCGTGAATGGTGTACCAAATGAGTTCAAAATTTGCAAGAGCATGTAATTTTGGGTTCTCTTTCCAAATCCAATGTTAGTTTTATTAAAAAGTTGTGTGATTTTTCGTAAAAAGCGGAAAAATCTGGTGCGATCTCACCGAGGCCATGGTCGAGTGGTCTAAGGCGCGGGACATCGCCATTAAATTTGCGACGATCGCCATTAAATTTGCTCACGGTAAGTGCTATTCGATGCGAAAAAATGTCCTGAATCCAAATTTGAAACAATTTTTCGAATCCGTCTGACAGATTTTTTTAAAATCGAAAAAATCACTATTTTTCCATATAAACGCCAAAATTGTCTCTCTTTTACAAGCTGGCTCTCGGCGAAAAGGAAATTTTGGTGAGCGTCATATACCAAACTTTATGCTCAAGGGTCTTGTGCACATTTTGACACTAAAACGAAATCAATTGGGTGAATCTGTGAAAAGTTGATGCCTTTTGAACGCTAAAGGTAGCGTTTTTCAACTTTCTGCGCGCTAAAGCGTGGGGCAATTTTGGCGTTTATATGAAAAAATAGTGATTTTTTCGATTTTAAAAAAAATCTGTCAGACGGATTCGAAAAATTCTTTTGAATTTGAATTCAGGAGATTTTTTTGCATCGAGTAGCACTTACAAATTCAACGGCGATCGCATTTTCGCGCGGATGTGCGGCAGGTCAGTCTGAGGCTTCAATAGGGGGCTGTTGGTTCGACTCCTTCGAAGCAGGAATGTTTTGCAATAAATATTCTCTAATAGTTTTAAATACTTTAATAGAGTAACTATAAACATCAAGTGTTAGAACTCAAAGAAGTTTTGAAAAATTAGTGTTTTTGAATTTTCTAAAAAAAGCGTTTTGTCAAGGAAAGTTAACTACTAGAAATTAGCGTATAAAATAAAAGAATTAAAATGAAAATAAATTATAATGGAGTTTATTCGGGCTAAATTTAAGCCCGAATCCGGATTCTAGAGTCTTTTCAGGCCCCGGGATTTGGTGATTCAAATCAGCGGTTTAGCAAAAGAGGGAAAAGAGCGCCGAATAGAAAACGTTCAAAACAGCGCCGTCAAATCTCGCACAATCCAAAAAACCAAGCCACTTCAAGTTTTATATCAAAAAATTCCTTGCGTTCTTGGCTACATGATGGGTGAAACAGTTTTAAAAAAAAGTTAATGTTTCATAGATAAAAAGAGCGCTCAAAATGTGTGTCGAGTGATACTCAGTTGGTTAATTGAACATCGTCAATGTGTTAAGAATTAAGAACTTTAGCATTACAGTCAATAAGTTGAAGTTGAGATAAGTTTAGCATTCAATTTCGCTTATCGGATATTTGCTGGCCCTGGCCCCCTTGTCATTGGACAATCCAACTTTGAACTGAAATATCTTTGGGTTGGGCTGTCGAATTTAGATATTCTTGGTATCATTAGATGCACCAAATCTTTCTCTTTCGATTAGTAAAAAACTGTTTAAATTGGACAGCCCAACACCAAGATATTTGAGCTCAAAGTTAGATTGCCAATGGCAAAGGGGGCGGAGCGCGTATCAAATGTCCCACATTCTAAATGTTTACATCCATGGACTGGGAATCAATGCATAAATTGAAGTTTAAATAAAATTAGTTTTCAATTTCAGGTCTAGTAATGCCAGTTGTCGAATCGGCTGCAGTTCAGCTAGCGAAAGCGCTCAATATTCGAGTGGTCAATGGAGACACTTTGTATCCATACAGTGACTTCTGGAGAAAAACCTTCAATAAATTAGCGGTTAAATCATTCGTTAATCAATTCTTAAGATTGTTTTAGCACGACCCAGCCTTCCAATACTATTTCCGGAATCCAAAGAATCCGGTGGCAAAACGAGCGGCTCGTGAGGCACTCATCGAATATTTAAACACTGGCCGGCCCAAGAATACTCGGAATTTGTGATTGATCGATATTTGGAAATTTGTGATAACAAAAGATATACGAGTTTAGAAGGGATTCTTCTAGAAATTATTGTAATAAATATTTTATTCTTGAAATATAGCTGAAAGATGGGATCTTCTTTATCTCAAATATGGCATTCTCTTTCTCTTTAATTTTTGGAGACGAAAAACGACAAGAGGTACTTTATTTGCTTGAAAAAGAAAGAAAAGAATTACTACTTGCTAGCATTCCCAATCTCGAATTTCCCAAAGTGTTCTTTGCTTTGCTTTTCTTTCCAAAAAATAACGATCACTAGCTCTATCCGGCTGCCAAATCAGCAGGTCATTGAGAAATCGGTTGTGTCACTATAGAGAGGCAAAGAGATGGACGCTGTCTAGATATAAGGGATCCGGTTTTGGAAAAATGGAAAAGAAAACCGCTAATCCATATTGGGAAAGGCTGGCGCTAATGCTATCGAATGGATTCCTAGGGAATGAGTGTATATTTTCAACTGTTCAGCTGAATATGCTCTTTGGTACGATTATCTGTCTGTCTACGATTATCTGTCAGATTCATTTAAACAAATAAGGTTAATTTTATTCAAAAAACAAACATGTAAAGTAAGTTCATTGTAAAATCGACAGCCAACTAACTAAGGGTAGCTTCATTTGCACAACTTTTAGCTACGCCATAAACAGAAATCAAACTGGAATCAAAAATACCGAAACTTCACGTATTACAATTCACAAAGAAGTGCAAATAATCAAAATGGGTGAATAATGACATAAAACGGGTCCTTTTATACGTTAAATGATACCAAAATGAACTTAAAGTGTAATATCCATGCAAAGTTATGAGGCAAAAGGTTAAGTTCCGCTCATAATGGGTGGGGTTTAGATTTTTAGCCAACAACTTTGCATGGATATTATATTTTGAGTTGATTTTGGTATCATTCGACACGCAATTTCATTCTACATCAAATGATAGTCAAAATAATCAAAAGTGAATGTTTGGTGCTGAGAAAAACACAAAAAACCTTCAATTGCCAACGGCAAAAAAGGACTGACAGATGTTTTTGTTACAAGTCTAGTGTGCTGGCCGTCTTGATGGCCTCAAAATTCTAAACTGATAACGAATTTGGATTCCTCAGCATAGAAAATCCTCGAAAACAAAGTCTCAAGTGTTAGTTTTCAAAAAACACGAATGTGCCAAACACAAGTTGATCAAATTTCTTACAATAGATATAGTTCGTTGCCGTTTGCCTAGTACTTCAGCAATCAGACTGAATATTTCTTGAATTCTTGAATTTAAAAACCTTTAGTTATTAACAGGAAAACATCCAATTGTGGTAACATCAATGGTAACTCCAGCTTGCGTAAACTGAAAGCCCGTTCCGTCATCGGTGCAAACGAGTGTCACCGTTGCTGTCGGTTTATCACTGATGGATCCATTTTGATCGAGATTAAACTATAATTTAAGCCTGACATTTTCAAAATAAAATTTCAAGATCGTCGTCTTGCTTTTCTTTAAATAATTCACTTTAAAACGTGTCAACTTTTGAAAAATATTGACATAATCTTGCTTTTAAAGAGCAAATGCTAATTTGTTAGTGTTTTTAAAACTTTAGTTTCTTAATAGTGTCGAGAAAAACGCGTTCAAAGCTAGACTACACAACACTCCGTGATTATGGGGGTTATTTCAGTATTTACGGTATGTTTTCATTGAAACCGACCGAAATAGTGGATATCCCGACTGTTGATGTACAGCTTAGCGTTTGAGTAAAACATCCATTCGCGTCAGTGCCGGTTGTTACTAAAAAGTTTCTAATTATGTCAATTGAATGACTTCTAGAGTAGATTTCATTGCAATTCGATAACTCACTGCTGGTGAAAGGTTCTGCACCAGCTGACGTCAGATCGATTGTCAAGCCCGTGTTTTTTGAGCATTTTGAGCATACTAAATGTTTTCTGAATCAAAATGAATAAGAGTTTTGCAAAATGTGCAAACATTGTGCAGTTTTCAAACTGAAAGCAAACTTTTAAATACCTGGAGGTACTGGCGTTGTCGTTCTCTAAAAAAATCCATTTTGTCAAGTCCTGGTAAATAATTAGAAAATGGTGACACTTGTCTATTAGAATGCAAATGAATTCTTGTCTTTTAAATATTCGAAATCGTTTAGCGTCAAAGTTAACCATCTAATTCTAGCTAGGTAAATTCTTGAGGTAAATTTCTATTCAAAAGTTTACTCAAAACACCGCCAATCCGGAGTTCCTACATTTGCTTTCAAAATCTCCGTTAACCTGTTATGGCTGTCATAACCAACTGGCTAAGAGCCCGGTATCTTAATCGAGGGGTCAAGAGTTCAATCCCGCCGGCTAGATTATTGTTTTTTCCCCATATATATGTATTACCAGAAGCTTCGTTGCTGCGTTGCAGCAGAGAAATTTTTGGAGCAAATTTTGGAGAATTGGCGGCAAGGGGAGTCGAACCTGCGACCTCTTTCTTTCGTTCGTTTGAGAAACACGCGCGTTAACCACTCGGTCATGCTCTAGCAAATGGCGCACTGCGAGTGCACTCGTCTCTAGCCCACACGACCCGGGTTCGATTCCCACCCGCGTTGGCACTTTTGGTTTTTGAAAATTTAAAAACATGTTGCACAAATACATGAAATTCTAATCCAAACTGGAAATTATTTGGAACGGTCTACTGGGTGCGGAGGAGTGCTCAAAGATAGACAGACAGACATACAGACAGGCAGACAGACAGAAAGGCAGACAGACAGGCAGGCAGACAGACAGACAGGCAGAGAGAGAGGCAGACAGACAGACAGGCAGTCAGGCAGACAGACAGACAGAGAGACAGACAGACAGGCAGACAGACAGGCAGACAGACAGACGGACAGGCAGAGAGACAGACAGGCAGACAGACAGATGGACAAACGGACAGGTAGTTTTAGTCCCTTTATATAGTAGATATCCGATTTAGATTTTTATCCAATTAGACTCGACAATAGTTTTAACAATTGCTGCGTTGGTAAATCATGTTTTTAACAGTTTTTGATACGTGTTTACTTCGTTTTTATCGTTTTTTGTGCCAAAAACAAGGTAAGCAATAGCCGCACCAAAACCTGGTAACTTTTGCCGAATTTAGCCACTTTTTAAGTGAAAGTATGCTAAGTTTTAGTTGTATCGTTGATGTCCCGAAATTGCATCAAAAGCTGTCAAAAACATGATAAAAACATGATTTACCAACGAAGCAATTGTAAAACTATTGTTGAGTCTAAATCGGATATAACATGGATTTTTCTCTTCTCGACATTTAGGGCTTAAGGGTTGAGGCTTAGGGTTGTGCTTGTGTATTTTTTGTCCCACATTACTCGTGTGAATAAATGTAAAACGAAAACTTTAAGCCCACCTGTGTCGTTGTCTTGGGTGTTGTGGCTAAAATTGCATCTATGTTAACATTTAAAAGAATTGATCATTACTACAAAGTTTGTTACAGTATAAAGCTACGTTTGATAGTAAATATTAGGTAAATGCATAAGAAATGATTTCAATTGATCAAACCATTGAAAAATTTCGAGCGCGAAATGCGAGTCACCAAAAAATGGCATAAATTTTCAACGATAGAAACCTGTTATCGATGAATGTTATAAACTATTTGAAAGTTGTAAATCTCCTCTACAAAATAGGCTAAAACGTGTTTCAATTGATCGAACCATTGAAGAAATTTCGAGCGCGAAATGCGAGTGACCAAAAAAGGGCACTTTTTGAAAACCCCACTTTCACAAGAGTTCGGTTTTGACGATTTAGTGCAAAAGGCCCTAAAATATCATTCAAAATAATTAAGAGTTGGGATCATTTCGTGGGAAAACTTTGTTTTTACAATAATTTTTCTTTTTTGTGAAAAAGCCGGTTTTTTGAGAATTTTGAGGATTTTGAACTTACGCTTTATCTAAATTTCTGTAAATGCATTTCCGTTAGACTTTTTTAATCAATTGATTGAATTTAATGAATATAGCTATCCTTTTTTTTAAATCTTCAATTTTGGGAAGCTAACTCTATTTTGACCACACTAAACTTGTCCCTAAAGTGGCTCGATTCCTTTTTTGGTCACTCGCATTTCGCCCTCGAAATTTCTTCAATGGTTCGATCAATTGAAACACGTTTTAGCCTATTTTGTAGAGGAGATTTATAACTTTCTAGTTTATAACATTTACAATTAGTTTATAACATTTACAATTAGTTTATAACATTCATCGTTATCAGTTTTCTATCGTTGGAAATTTATGAAAATGTTGAAATCCGCATTTCTTATGCATTTACCTAATATCTCACTTATTTATTAATTTCTGAGATTCAAGGAAAGTTTGGGTATGATTTTTAGCCCTCAAGGTAAGAATTTCTAATCAAAAGTAGCTTTTAATTGAGTACAATCGTTTACAGAATTTCTAGATTATAAGCTAAGTATTGAAGATGAATTTTCCTGGTTGAAAGAATTGTAAAGTAACTGGTAACTTTGGGAAGAACACTGTGATTGAAAAATTTTCATACCTTGACATCAGTAAAACAGTAAGAAACTGATTTCAAATGAAACCAACAAGAAATAACATAATCACTAGTCAAATTACAATCGAACTTTGCTCGATTCAGCAAACTATTTACTTGTGACTGGCGGTTGTGTCCGAATACAAGCCTCAACAGTTCCAAATACGAGAAAAAGAAGTACAAAATTGTTTTTTTTCATATTATTTCAAGAAAATAGCAGGAATTCAAGCAGGAATTCAAGCTGGAGATCAAATGATTCAATCATCAAAGGGCGGAAATCGGCAGATCATTTCTCTTTTTGTTTCATTTAAAGAAAAACCCGTTAAATCCTGTTTTAGACCAGCCGCGAACGATCAAGGAAAAAACTGGGCAAAAAAACTGAGCTTTTTATTGAAGAAAGAGGGAAAGAAGCTTTTCTGATTAATGAATTGTAGATTGTGAACTTTGGTGACACTCGGCTTATTTAGAAAATACTGTTAAAAGCGTAACATTGTTCGAAAGCTTTAGTTTATCAAAAAAAAGCGTGAATACTGTTACAGTCGACTCTTGATTTGACGGTTTTGACGTTTCAAACAAGCCCTTGGTTTTGTAGCTGTTCAAACCCGTAGCTGTTCAACCAAACGCTATCGTTGGGGCCGCCACGCAAGAAATTTGGAACACTTTTTAGAATCTTGGTTTTTTGTCGAATCGAAATCATCGAATCGAATTTTTGGTCCCGTCGTTAAATCGAGTGTCGACTGTATTTTAGGAGATTCTGTTTGATAATGAAATGAATAGATAAGAGCTTTTCAAAAAAAGATATAGTAATAAAGATAAAGCTATAGTTTACCTATTTACCTGAAGCAGACGGTATTCACAAGAGTTTTTAAAACGCTTTTGGGAGCTTGGGAAGACTATCGTAATCCCTGCTTGTCTAGCAAAATCAATAAGCAATTGTTTGCTGGCAAGTAAAGCTCATTTTAATCTACCAAAAATCTACCAGAAATCAAACGAGATGTCGCTTAAACCCTAAAAATTGACCTTTTAAAGGTACGGTAGCTTTTCTTAAGCCTGACTCTTAGAAAGCACTTTATTTCAGTAGTTTATCCATCTTGGTAATATCGTAGTACTTTGACATCTAAACATACCGTAAATATCAATCGTAAATACCAAATTTTCATCTAAATACACCATCTAAATACTCTAATAAAACGCCACTTTCTCGCGTAATCTAACTCCTTTTTAGAAAATCATTTTTTTTCTCAGCTCCTAGATTTTTCTCAATTAAACTTTTGATACCAAAAAATTCTAGATTTCAAGGGCTATCATTTGACACCCAAGCGACCACTATAGCATAAAACAGCGCTGAGAACGGGATGTTTAAAGTTAGACTATGCGACTGGACCAGCGTCATTATGGCGTTCTATTAGATTACGGTACTTTCTTTTCAAAACAATTATTGCTTAAAGTGACTACAGCCATAAAGCTTAGATTTTGAAAGTTGTGAACCTTTAGAAAACATTTTTCCATATAATTTTAACTTCGCTCTTAATCTCCACTTCCTGAATTTCCCAAAGTTGCAAATTCCAGACTTTCCGTCTTTGATCTGGCTTGATTTGGAACAGGTTTGAGAGCCACTCTGATCTATTTGATATGGTTGATCTCGTGAGTGATTTCACACCAAGATTTCACATCTATTTTCAAGAATCAAGCGTTTGAAGAAGGGAAACGGGTTCAAATAGAGGATTGTGTCATCAAAAATTGATTTTCTGATTCTGATCTTTTGTTTTTATTTTGTTATTTTCTTGAAGATTTAATCAATTTTAAGGTTAGTTACCTATGAAATTTAGCCGATTTTAACCCATTTGCTTACAATTATCTGTCAAACTTTATCTTTATCGTTTGAATAAAGTATTATTATTATTATTATAAACCAGTTCTGGGAAAATGACAAGTAAATTCCTTAAATAATGCTCAAGGTTCATCGATTTTATTCCATTTTCAATCGATCGCAATTCTCTAATTTCATTTTTTTTTTCATTCCTTTATTATTTTTTAGTAATTTGCTTTTTTGAGTTTAAGCTTTTAAGCTCTTCTGCTTAAATCAAATCTTTCATTTTCAATTGAAAAATTTCCTTGTTGTTTTATAATTCGTTGCGTTTTTCAGCTTTAAACGTTAAAAATGACTCCCAAAACGAAAAGAAATGAAAAGTTAAATATTTATTATCTTGTATGTTATCATTATTAGTTATCATTCTTGAGTTCTGTTATTTTTAAAAGTATCTATTGTCAAGAAGCAAGAATTTACAACATTTCTGTTCAATAAATTTCAATTTCAAGAATTCTTGTTGATAAAAATCGTTCATCCAGTACATGAGAATATTTGCATATTAAGTGAACATTCAATATGAAAAAGGCTCAAAATCAATCCAAAAATTTCATGCCCCCAGGCAGGATTGAACTACCGACCTTTGGTTTACAAGACCAACGCTCTACCACTGAGCTATAAGGGCTGTTGAGAGGGGTGGGAGAATTTGAGTAGAAATTTCTGTTTTTGAATATTTGAACAGCTTATTGAGTGCTCTTTTGATGTTTTGATGAACAAATATCTCTTACATCCATTCATTATCCATTTTTCTTTCATTCCAACCCATCGCCCGTTTAGCTCAGTGGCAGAGCGTCTGTCTCGTAGAAGAATCGAGTAAACAGAAGGTCATCAGTTCAATCCTGATAGTGGGCAATTCCTTTTTGAAATCCAATGGGAATTGTGCTATTCATGAGAGTACTATCAATTCTTGGATCTCATCGTCTCATTGGCTCAGTGGCAGAGCGTCTGTCTAGTAAACAGAAGGTCGCTGGTTCGATTCCAGCATGAGACATCTATTTTTGAACTTTTGTAGGAAACAATACAAAAAACATTACAAAACATTTCATTACAAAAATACATGTCTCATGCTGGAATCGAACCAGCGACCTTCTGTTTACTAGACAGACGCTCTGCCACTGAGCCAATGAGACGATGAGATCCCAGAATTCATATTATTCTCATGAATGGCACAATTCCCATTGAATTTCAAAAATGAAGAGATGAATGAGATATTTGTTCATCCATTTCTCTTTCTAACCACTCATCGCCCGTTTAGCTCAGTGGCAGAGCGTCTGCCTCGTAAAAGAATTGAGTAAACAGAAGGTCATCAGTTCAATCCTGATAGTGGGCATTTTTTTTGAAATCCAAGGGAAATTGTGCCATTCATGAGAATAATATGAATTCTTGGATCTCGTCGTCTCATTGGCTCAGTGGCAGAGCGTCTGTCTAGTAAACAGAAGGTCGCTGGTTCGATTCCAGCATGAGACATTATTTTTGACATTTTGTAGAAGCGACTGAGCGAATTTCGATTGGTTAAACGAATTTTGGTGGGTTCTTGAGGCTTTTCAGAAAGGATTCAATTTCTACGCAAAAAATTTTAATGCAGTCAGCTTAATTTTTGGCCTCTTGCCTAAGCTTTGTGATTTCTAGTCAAACGATGCATTGATTCTTTCAGCTAAAACTTCATCTAATTCATTCCGATTTTTTCCGACCGAACAATTTAGTTTATGAGCCAAAAAATAACTTCCCAAAAACCTTTTGAACTTTTGTAGAAGTGAGTGAGCGAATTTCGATTGGTTAAACGAATTTTGCCGGGTTCTTGAGGCTTTTCAGAGAGAATCCAAACGCGAAAATCCAAAAAATTCAAAAAAGAAATCTGGGGAGAGATTGGAAACAATACAAAAAGCATTACAAAACATTTCATTACAAAAATAGATGTCTCATGCTGGAATCGAACCAGCGGCCTTCTGTTTGCTAGACATTGAGGTGTACTAGACAGACGCTCTGCCACTGAGCCAATGAGACGATGGGATTCCAGAGTTGAAATTATTCTTATGAATGACACAATTCCCAAATTTCAATCAAAAATGAATTGCCCACTATCAGGATTGAACTGATGACCTTCTGTTTACTCAATTCTTTTACGAGACAGACGCTCTGCCACTGAGCTAAACGGGCGATGAGTGGTTAGAAAGAGAAATGGATGAACAAATATCTCATTCATCTCTTCATTTTTGAAATTCAATGGGAATTGTGCCATTCATGAGAATAATATGAATTCTGGGATCTCATTGGCTCAGTGGCAGAGCGTCTGTCTAGTACACTTCAATGCCTAGCAAACAGAAGGCCTCTGATTTGGTTTTGATTTTTAAACTTTTTCGACTGTTAGTGTTTGTTGTAGAAGTGTTATTGAAAATTTTATTCTCCCTTACCAAATATGTTCATAGATCATTGAGCAAATAGTCCAAAAATGCATGAAATTTATACACATCGAAAGAGCAATTTAGTTAAACAGCTAAAGCTCTAAATTGTGATGGAAAAAGAAAATTGAATATTTGTATGGCTATTTGGCCGAATCTAATCGAATTTCTGATGGAAATGTCGATAAAAAAAAGTTGACTAGTTTAGAAAAAAAATATTATATAGTTGTTGATAGAAGTTTTCAAAAAAGATGGATTAAATTGCACAAAGCAAAAAGAAATAATTTTCATTGAGTTTTTGGAATTTCTCCTAAATGAAATGGCTTAAACGAATGGTTAGGTTTAGAAAACTGATTTCAGATTTGGCTGTCTGTACTTTGAATTCAAAAAGTAACTCCAACTTACAGCTTGACTTTATACTTACAAAAATATACAGTTCCTAAAAGGCACTTATTTTATTATCGTAACCGCCAATTTACATCCGATCAGCCGAATTTTGAAATCATTAATCGAGTCTTGTGATTCCTCGTCGAATAATACCAAAATTGGGCTGATTGGCCAAAATTGGCTCAATAACGAAAATTGGTGGCTTGATATGATAGTTTTACTAACTAGTTGCCTTTTAGAATGGATTAAGTAGCGAACTCACTTTACTCCAAAGGTAATACAGCTTATAGATTAAGTTTATATACTACAGTAGTCCTCAATATTGTTTAAATGTAATTCAGCAGTCAGAGAACCTTAACCTAACTAATATCTAATATAGTAAGAGTTAAATCAAAATCGTTTAACCATTCTTGAATAGAGTGCTTTCCTTTTGAATCTTAAAACGTGTCAACTTTCGAATTTCGAAACCGTAATCGTGTCTCGATCCTACCAATCTATTTTTTGCTGTCTTTCGATATCTTCACAAATTCTCAAATAATAAAACAAAAAGTAGATAGATTGAAGTACAACTAGCGGCTAATTACGATAGTTTCAAAAGGTAAAACGTTTTAGAAAACATCGTCGGAAGCACTTTCTATTGGGTTGTCCAGTTATGAATGCGCGTTTTTACTATTTTATGAATTTCTCAAGATATCGAACAGATGTATATGAGTGTTATATATCATTCGAAAGCTGAAGATCTCCTCTACATTTTGGAATAAAAAAAGTTTTTGAATTTATTCAACTTTTTGGGAAATTGACTGCATGAAGGGAGAGGTCGTTTTCGAAAAAACTTATTTCAGCTTAGCTATTCCTCAAGTTTTATGGTGTAAAATAACCGCGCAGAAAAGAAAAGTAAAGATGCTCTGAAATTGTTATATTTAAAAAAAAGTTGTATTGATATCTCTATTGGCCAAACATCAAACGGTTAACTCAATTTGAGCGAAGCCAAAACTTGATCCAAAGGCACCCTTCCATTTTTGGCCACCTCTTCTTTTGTGCAGTCAATTTGCCCAAAAGCAGAACCAAATTCAAAAGAACTTTTTATATCAAAATGTAGAGGAGATCTTCAGCTTTCGAATAATACGCATATATAACTTTTTCTTGATTTCGGTATCTTGAGAAATTTATAAAATAGTAAAAAACGCGCATTCATAACTGGACAACCAAATATTTATGAACAAACCCAGCCACCCCTTTAAGCCTTTTAGGAGAAAGACCTCCAGATTTCAACTCAAAAGTTGAATGATTATGGGCATAAAGAAGGATTTGTCATGCAAGTGACAGGGAAACATCCAATCGATGTAATCTCCACCGTTGCTCCGGCTTGTGTCTTTGCTAGTGCATTTCCTTCAGCATCGCATGTTATAGTGGTCGTCACTGTCGGTGTGGCTGTCTCCGACCCAGCCGCGTCTTTATTGAACTGAAATTTTTCAATTAAAAACAGAAAGAGAGTAATTTCTTTTGAGTTTCTAGAAGTTTGTAGTTTGTAAAAAGCGATCTTGGGTTCAAGGCTGTTTAAGAACCAAAGTTTAAAGGTTAGGTCAGAATAGAGTGTGTTCAGGCCAGTCGCGAGCAATGCGCTTATTAGAAGACACTAGAAAAACCGTAATAAAACTGCCGATTGATTGTCCAATTTTGGTAGCATTGACTGATTCCTCATTAAATGGATCAGAATTGGACTGATTGAATCTAAACTGGTGATTTGATTACAGGATGTGGCGAAAGTTCTGTCCTTTTAAAACTCCCTTTAATTGAATTCTCTCTGATTTTTATTATTTCATAAGTTTTTACAGCCAAAATTTAGCCAATTTATAGAAATTTTTGCAATAAAAAAGCCGAAAAATATCTGCGAACACAGATACTTTTTTCGAATAGCAATTTCACAATTTCGAATTTCGAATAGCGATAACTCAAAATCTAAAGAGGTTATTTAAAAACTTTAATATTATTTAAATTCTGTAAAAGATTGGCTATTTTTTGGCTATAAACACTTATAAAATAAAATCAACAAGGAAGCTTTTAGAGGGTTCTAAAGTGACAGAGTTCTAAAGCGCTCTACAAAAGTATGGTTTTCTCAAAAACCAAAAGAACTGACAGTTTTTTTGTTTCGATATTTAAAATCTACGGACATTTTTCACTAGATTTATGAGTTTGTGTAAGCATTTAAAACGTCATTCGTTTCATATAGGACTTTAAAAGTCCTATATGAAAGTCCTATAAGTTTAAAAGTGCTAGCTGCTCTCGAGAAAATTAAACCTTTCAAAAATGTGCTCATTTTTCTTAGCCAAGATAACCTCGAATTTGCAATAATGAAGCTCAAAAAGCATTATTTTTATAATAATTAACTCTAGAAACGTATTAATGCAGAGAAAGATGGAAAAAGACGATTTTTTGAAGGCTTTAGACTCGAATTTAGCTGTTTTTCAGCATCACAGCATAGCATTTGTTGTACTGCTCGGCTAGGGCTGTCAAAGTCATCAGAAAATGCTACGGTTCTTCTATTCTATGGAAAACTTACAAAATTTTATAATTAATTATTGTTTTTCAGCTTAGGTTAATACATATTGTCTTAGAAAGTCAAAAAGCTGCATTAAGCGCACACAGGATGCATCATAATTATCGGTCCAGATAAATCAGCCAGCACTAACCGAAAAACAAGTCACCCAAAGATAAAAAAGTTTTTATAACAATCTTTATTTATATGTTAACAAGTGTAAAACTTAAATTTCAAAAATTCCTCTGTCAGCGGCGACACACGCTTCAAGACGTGGGCGGAAGGCGTCAACTGTGGCAAGTAGGCAACATCAAGCTCCTCCCCTGCTTTAAGGAACTCTTTCTTTAACGAGTCAACTGTTCGATGTGGTTTAGCACACGCCTTAGCTTCTAAGATTGACCAAATTGAAAATTCAAGTGGATTAAGATCCGGCGAGTTTGGAGGTCACTCGTTGAATGAGATGAAATCGGGTAGGTTCTGCTTACACCAATCCTGAACCATTCGAGGCTTGTGAGCTGGTGCTCCATCTTGCTGAAATACCCAGCTACGTTGTCCAAAATGAGATTGAGCCCAGGGCAAAACGTCTTGTCGCAAAATGTCCAAATATGCTTGACTGTTGACCTTGACTCTTGATAGCACGAAGACGAAAGGAGTCTTTCCATTGGCCGTGACCCCTGCTCACACAAATGACTGAAGCTAGATGAAGAACGCACATTATCAATTTTCGTGGGTTAGAAATGACATAAATTCGGTCATTCTGTTTGTTTAGCACTTGTTCAACGTTGAATAATTTTTCATCGGAGAACAAAATCTCGCAACAGCCGCCTTGGTTGAATCGGCTGAGAAGGTCCTACATCGCTCTTTTTTCTTTTTGGCAGCTTCGGTGGGCCCTTGACCCTTCTTCTTTTTGAAAGCTTTCATCTTGAATTCGCGCTGCACAATTCGACGCAAGGAAGGCTCAAAAATTCCCATTTGGCGTGACATGAGCTGGACTGATCGTTCCGGGTTACGACGCACTTTTTCGGAGATTGAATGCTGGATTGAATCACTACAGAACGCCGTTTTCCTCGACCAACTCTATCAACATTTGTTCCCAATTCCTTGAAGCGTTTAATCGTCTTGTTCATGAGCCGCTTAGAAACTCCGAAATTTGAGAGATTGCACGTGTCAAAAGCCCCCATCAATGGAACGTTATGATCAATTTCCGACGCACACTCGGCTTGACCATTTCTAAAAAACAATATATAATCTTAGAAATTGTATTAAATAACAAGGGAAAACATGAAAAAAGCACAAGATAGAAAATAACCACATAAATGACATAAATAACAACATAAATGGTCACAGATAAAGCTGACATCCCAAGCCCATAATTATGACGCACCCTGTACAGTAGCTTTCCAAAATGAGTGTCTTTTAGAAAGCGATTGCTCGAGAGTGGGACACTCAAGGTTAAAACCAGAAACTAGTCTGGTTTTTTTAAACTTTTCCCCTAATCAAACTGTATCATCAACTTTCAAAATCCCCGATAAACATAGAGACACTTACCGAAACAGTGGCTGCAAAACCGGCAACGGTCGAGGTGCAAGTCAATGTGAAAGTCGCACAACCGCTCGCGTCCATTCCTTTCGTAACTAAAGTTTTTTGTTATAGTAAAGCAAACATTTCTTTGAATTTCTTTAAACTTTACTCGTATTTGTACACTTCAAATATTGAAGTTGAGTAGCTAAAGGACTTACTACTAGTAAACGGAGCAGATCCAGAGGAGGTCGTGTCGACAAGTGCCTCGGTTTGTGCTTGTGTACACCCAGCGCATGCTAAAATGAAATATTGTGCTCTACTCATATGAATATAAAATTTCTAAAAAAAAATTTGTTCTACGTGGTGGTGTTGTTGTAGTGGTAGTGGTGGTTGAAGTGGTGGTTGAAGTGGTCGTCGGTGTGGTCGTCGCTGTGGTTGTCTAAAAATTGGACTCAAGATTTTTGAGTAGAAAAGGAGCAAGGTTCTAAGTTTGGAACAAAGCCTAGAACTAAACAAAGCCATGATACCATTTTGGAATAATCTTCCAATAGAGAAATTCTTTACCTTAACCTTTTTTAAAAGGCCAAAAACGGTGGCTAATTTGCGCCAAATTTTTACTGGCTCATTTGCCAGTAAAAGTAAACTCGCCATAACTTTCTTCTGAGTGAGCTAGTCTTTATGATTTAAATGCCATTTTGTAGATCTCAACAAGTGCAATAAAATGTCACTAAAATTATAAAAATTGGCTTATTTAGAAGAAAGTTATGGTCAATTGTGCAAAAAAAAATGGCGCAAAGTAGCCACCGCTTGGTTGATTTCAAAAATGGGGCACTTTTCACTTGTTGAGATCAACAAAATGGCATTAAAATCATAAAAATTAGATTAGGAGAAAATTATGGCGATTTGCGAAATGCGAAATGCGAAATGAGCCAAAAATTTGGTGCAAAGTGGCCACCCGTATTTGACCTTTTAAAAATGGGTTAAGGTAGGGGAATTTCTCTATTGGAACTTGCCTAACTTGCCATAACTTTATTTTAAGTGAGCTAGTCTTTATGATTTTGGTTTCATTTTGTTGCACTTGTTGAAATCTACAAAATGAAACCAAAATCCTAAAGATTAACTGACTTAGAAGAAAGTTATGGCAAATTGGGCAGAAGACTCAGTTGAGCAAAAAATTTGACGCAAAGTAGCCACCCCCGTCAAATAATGTCAACACTTTTAACAACGAGCTTCAGAATTTGCGTTCTTTCGTCAATTTAATAGCACCAGAGTTGGCAAAAAAGGAAAATTTTCAGTTTAAATCAAGGCAAAACCAAGCCCACGCAAATTTTAGGCCAATTCAAACCAAAGCCAAGGTACACTACTGGACAATGAAATATCATATTTGAAAAAAGATCGTCATTTTCGCGCATCTGTAACTCCCTTGTCTTTACCGTATTTCTAGATATTAATATTACCATTGTGTAGCCCTTGAAAAGAGCTTTCAGAAAATGTATAACACTAATAGTTTAAACTCAAAGACAAGGGAGTTACAGATGCGCGAAAGTGACGATCGTTTTTTCAAATATGATATTTCATTGCCCAGTACTGTAAGCCAAATTGAAAAGGTTGAAATTCCAAGCAAAGACTATTTGAAAACTATTGACTAGCCTTAGCTTTGCCAATCCTTAATAGCATTTGTTTCATTCAAAAAGGTCAAGACAAGAAATTAGCAAATGTTTTGAGAGCTGAAAAGCATTTGCTTTTCAGCTCTCAAAACTATGACTAACCTAGCTTAGACCTAACTTTTTTTGACATTGTTGTAAGGATCTAAACAATCTGTAAACCCTACCGTTTTTGTAGTCGTCTTTGTCGTGGTTGTCGTTGTTCCAGTCGTCGTCGTTACTAAACGAGAAAATAACAAAGAAAGAAAAGAAACCCAACGCAAAACTTAGTCGATTCAAAGTTTCATGCACAAAGAAATAGGAAATAGAATAAATGTTTGAATAAAAACGAATCAGCCATGCATTTTATCGCCGAGCCATTAAAGTTAAGATTAAAACAATAAAAATAAAAGTGATTGTAAATAATTTGAGAGGAAAGTGTTAGTAAAAATCTTTTACCTGTAGTAGCCGTGGTTGTGGTTGTGGTAGCTAAAAATGGTGAAGTGTGTAGAAAAGAGTGGATTGGGATGGATTGGAATCCAATCCAACAAATGGATTGGAAAACTGTTAGTCGATAGGTTTAGGAGAAGTTTATAAATATCTTTATCTGTACTTTATTTGAATAATTGTTTTACAGTAGCTCATCTGTTTTTACATACCGTAACTAGTGTAATAGTACCCCACCCCAATAATGACGGTGCGGAGTATTGCGTAGACTAGCTTTGAACGAGTTTTTCTCGACACTGGTTTATGCTACAATGCGCGCTTTGGTATCAAAAGATAGCTGAAATTCAGGGCTGTTTTTTGATACCAAAGACGCATTTGTTGAAAGTACGGGCGCTTTGAAAAAAATGAAATACTAAAAAACTTTTGCGACTACGCGACTGTACGAGGGGGGTAGGGTACTGTTACAGTAATTACGGTAAGTTTCTTTGGTTTTACATAGATACCAGATAAGCGACAGTTTCTTGCCAAAAAAAAGCTAATAAGAAAGCTTTCATTACTCTGTTTTATTGAAATGCAAAAACGCAGCTAGCCAATAAAGAGAATTTCATTCTAAAACTAAACGAAACTAAGCTAACTAACTAAATATAAATATAAAACTAAACAAATTCTATTATATTATATTATCAGGCTGCTTTGTTAGATCTAGAGATTAAAATAGTTCAGTTACGTAATCAGTTACGTTTAGTTAAGTTAAGTAATCAGTTTTTTGGATTTTATTTCACTGTAAGAATGTCAAACATGCAAATAGGCAAACAGACAACAAAATAGCCTTTATTTTCAAAGTTTTATTGTCTAGGGGGTTGGAACTTAATCCAAAATAACCTCAGTACTCTAACTAGCGTTATAATCGGACTAAAGTCAATGATTATAAGTCAGTTATTGAAATTTCCCTAATATTTATTTAAACGATTACTAATACATAGTAATCGTTTTCTAGAAAAGCATCAATTTTAGAAAACTAATTAAACTGCCAAATAGAGTAGTAAGACTGATTATTTATTTATAAACTTGCTACTCAAAGCTTTCAACTTCTTTTTCTTGTTGTCTTTTAAAACTGATTCAGATCTGATTGATTGTCTTTTATTGGGTTGTCTTTTATGAATGCGCGTTTTTACTATTTTTCTCAAGATATCGAACAGATGTATATGAGTGTTATATATCATTCGAAAGCTGAAGATCTCCTCTACATTTTGGAATAAAAAAAGCTTTTGAATTCATTCAACTTTTTGGGAAATTGACTGCACAAAGGGAGAGGTCGTTTTCGAAAAACCCATTCCAGCTGAGCTATTCCTCAAGTTTTATGGTGTAAAATAACCGCCCAGAAAAGAAAAGAAAAGTAAAGATGCTCTGAAATTGTTATATTTAAAAAAAAGTTGTATTGATATATCTATTGGCCAAACATCAAACGGTTAACTCAATTTGAGCGGAGTCAAAACTTGATCCAAAGGCATCCTTCCATTTTTTGGCCACCTCTTCTTCTGTGCAGTCAATTTGCCCAAAAGCTGAACAAATTCAAGAGCTTTTTATATCAAAATGTAGAGGAGATCTTCAGCTTTCGAATGATATGTAACACTCATATACATCTGTTCGATATCTTGAGAAATTTACAAAATAGTAAAAAACGCGCATTCATAACTGGACAACCCAATAAAACAGTAGAATTGTTGACTTTTAAAACTAATTAAAACTCAATTCAGATCGAATACAGAAACAATTTCTCAAAAAAGATTTGACTCGGAACCAAGAGAAATATTTAATAAAATAGAAGCATTAAAAATTAGCCTTAATACGTAAAGATTTTGTATCAAAGGTGTTTGCTGTAGTTCTTGTGGTTGTGATCATGCAAGTATTGTGATCTTGTTGTGGTTGTGATCCTTATTATAGTTATTGTAGCTGTATTTAATAAAAAGTCGATAGTTTTTAAAAGGAAAAGCTTTTTCAAGTAAAGTGGATAATGAAAGAAGCAAATGTCGGACATGCTTTTACCCCAACATAAAAAACAGCGTTAATAGGAAGCGAATGTCGGGCATGCTTTTACCTTCCTTTGTTGTCGTGGTGGTTGGTTGTGTGGTCGTCAATGAAAATCAATCATATTCACAAGAAAAGGAATACAAAGACTTTGTGACATTGCAGACATTAAAAGTGAGATTTGAATTTAGAATCTTCCTTGAAAGTAATGAGTTTTCTAAAAGGTGGATAATCTTTCCTTCAGAGTTTGTTCTTTTTCCTGGGGATGGGACAAATGCGACCTTTTTTTTTGCTGGAAAAGGCCTTAGGAAAGGTCGTAGAGCTTCGAAAATATTTCCATATAAGGGAATCGTATGCGTAGATTCCGAATTTCGACAAATCAGACCTCGCTGACACGTCAAATTTGGGCTAAAAGGCAAAAACTACGCAACTTAACGCTTTTCCGCAGTTTTTGCCTTTTAGCCCAAATTTGACGTGTCAGCGAGGTCTGATTTGTCGAAATTCGGAATCTACGCATACGATTCCCTTCTATGAAAACATTTTTGAAGCTCTACGGCCTTGCCTAAAGCCTTTTCCAGCAAAAAAAAGGTGCGCGAATGTCTAGGTGCGCAAAAAAAAGGTCGCATTTGTCCCACCCCCCTTTTTCCTTTCTTCTTTTCTTCATTTTGATTTCATTTGATTCCTAGTCTTTGATTTTCATTTGTTTCCTGATTCCTAGTCTATTCCCTGACTAATAATGAATTGAATCAGACAAAATCTAAAGAGTTACAATAGTTTTCTATAGAAGCACCTCTTAGAAAACGCATTACTACGCATTAACACACTTTACTTATCTCTGGATACTAATAATAACACATAAAAGAGATTCTCATAAAAAAAAGAAAGGTTAACTTATAGATTTTTAATGAAATCTGATTCTGTTTTGATTAAATTAAAGTAAACCCTCGTTATTTATTCTACGTTATTTATTTATTCGATTTATTCTCGTTATTATTTAGTTTTTACGGCTTTAAACCAGCTCAGAAACTGCTATGATGTCATCTGATTGATGACATCTGATTGATGTCATCTGATTGATCGTTCTCTTAGGAAATCTCAACAAAAGCTCCCATGCAAGTTAAAAAACTTAGACAGCTTAAAACAGGACAAAAACCTTTCTGCTTTTCTTGCAAGAAAGAATTGAACTCATCAAGTTTGACTTTGATTTTACTTTGAGCACAACGAAAGCTTCAGAAAGCTTCAGAACGCTTCAGAAAGCTTCAGAACGCTTCAGAAAGCTTCAGAAAGCTTCAGAAACCTCAGAAAGCCTCAGAAAGCCTCGGAAGCTTCAGAAAGCTTCAGAAAGCCTCGGAAAGCTTCAGAACGCTTCAGAACGCTTCAGAAAGCTTCAGAAAGCTTCAGAAAGCTTCAGAAAGCCTCAGAAAGCCTCAGAAAGCCTCGGAAGCTTCAGAAAGCTTCAGAAAGCCTCGGAAAGCTTCAGAACGCTTCAGAACGCTTCAGAAAGCTTCAGAAAGCTTCAGAAAGCCTCGGAAGCTTAGAGGCTTATTGATTTCCTTAAAGCAGAAAAGCTTTAGTAAAAACCAACCCCAGCAAACAAAATTTTCCCAATCCCTTGTGTGCTTTGTGAGAGTTGTGAAGTTTTTTTTTACACTAAATGAGAAGAAATCTCCTATCTAGGGGAAAAGGGCTATCTAAGCAGTTTTCAATGCCAAAGCAAAGAAATGTGTTTGTCAAAAAGAGGGAAAATCGCCTTGTGTAAGCACTTATGGTGAAGAACATGTTGTGCTTTAATAGATGACCGTGCGATAAATGAAAGTCACGTACAAAAGTACAAAAGTTTGAAGTGCAAGAAGAAATCAGTGATTAAAGCTTATAAGAAAAATGGTGCTTTTAATTGCAACGAAAGTGCAACGATTAGAAATTGACGGTGAATGGATATTCCAAGTAAGAATTGATAGCTACTCATGATTGATTTCAATAAGAGAATATATTAGAGAAATGTTTTAAGTCTGACATTGTTCTTTTTTGACATTTAGGCAGAAACATACTAATTTTATACAAAAGATATAGCAAATAGATTTTTCAGAATCCTAAAATGTCTCAAAATTATCAACAACTTTAAGGAAAAGTGCGCTTAGTTTATTTTAAAATCTCAACTGTTATGTAGAGAATTGTAGCCCTTAATCTTGGTTACATTTCTCTACTAAAAAGTTTCCAATTAGATTTATAAAACTCATTTAACAAGTCCTTGAAGAAGCACTAGTCCCCCTATCCCGCGCTGCTATTTTTCTGCATAACGATTTGAGCTGTATAGATCCGATTGGAGAATTTTTAGCAGAGAAATGTAGCCAAGATTAAGGGCTACAATTCTCTATATAACAGTTGAGATTTTGAAATAAATTAAGCTTGCGATAACTGCTTTTCCAAAAAATTGTCCGGATAGTTTTGAGACATGAAAAGTAGTTAATTTATTTCAACGCTTAATTTATTTCAAAGTATCAAGTGTTAGATAGTGAAATGTAGCCCTTGATCTTGGCTACATTTCTCTACTAAAAACTTTCCAATCGGATGTATACAGCTCAAATTGTTATGTAGAAAATCATCAAAAATGGCAGCCCTGGATAGAGACCGACTAGTGCTTATTCCAGGATTTGTTAAATAAGTTGCATAAATCCGATTGGAAAGTTTTTTGTAGAGAAATGTAGCCAAGATTAAGGGCTATAATTCTCTATATAACAGTTGAGATTTTGAAATAATTAAGCTTTAACGCTAACTGCTTTTCCAAAAAGTTGAAAGACATGCCAGAATGCTAGCTTAGATAGATCTTATTGATAAGTTATGAAGAAGAAGAAGAACTATGGAACAAAAATGAATTGTTCAAATAAAAGAGTCCATGAAAACCCACAATTCAATTTTAAAGATAAGAGTTTTAAGTCAAAAAAAAATAGCTTACTGGTTGGTTTCACTGTCGTGGTCGTTGTGGGCACCGTTCGAATACATGCTTGACCAAATGCGAAAAGAATCGACAGAATTAAGGCCAAATCATCTAATCGCATTTCCAATTAATTAACGGGGATTGAGGGATTGGTTTAAGAATGAAAAGGAGCGATTGGTGAGTGAATGAAGGGGAAGTGTTCGTGGCAAGTGACACCGGCTGGCAAAACTCGCCCCGAAGAACTGAAGAACTCCCCCTTCTCTTTTCACCGATTCAAATCCGATGCTCAAGGCAAAACTAATGACACGCCGTTTTTCGAAAGACAAAGAGGCAAAAGTGAGTGCGCAAAAGACATTCCCCGTGCTTGCTGAAGATAAAAAGAGACAATGGCTTTAGCGTTTAGATATTTTAGCTTTTGAGCGCCTTTTAGGACAATCCTATCACTTGCACGTTGATCAACGGATCCAAAAGTACTAAAATTTAGATCGATTTAAGAGAGAACTTGATGATTTCGTTTGTTTATCGCTTAATAAGTTTTTATACTTAATAAGAAACGATTGTAAAGGCTGTTTATGCAAAGAAAGATAAAAGTTAACTTGAAATTTGTAGAGAATGATGTACCAGCAGTGTTGAAAAGGGAAAAATTGTCAGAAAGAAAAGACTTTTCCCCTAAAAGCGTACTGGGTAACTTGCATAATAAGATAGTTAAAAAAAATTGCGTAAATCCAGGCGCTTATTCTAGCCAACAGAGTATCTAGCCAGCAGAGTATCTAGCTAGTGAACTTCTTTTATTTAAAAGCCAAGATTTTAAGCTATCTAATGATACCCATCACCTATATTTCTTTTGGAAAAGTGGGTCAAAAACCTTATCGAGACTTAACAAGACAATTCCTTGTTATCTTGTTAAGTCTCGATAAGGTTTTTGGCCCACTTTTCCAAAAGAAAAATTTAAGTGATGGATATCATTAGATAGCTTTAAATCTTGGCTTTTAAATAAAAGAAGTTCACTAACTAGATACTCTGTTGGCTAGATCTCAAGCGATCTCAAGCACCTGAAGTTGCGTGACCCATTTATCTCGTTAATTCTTGTTAAGCAAATCTAGTACTGGGTCTAATGAGAGTCGAAACTCTGGAAGCTCTGGAACTTCCAGAGTCGAAACTCTGGAACTTCCAGAGTCGAAACTCTGGAAGTAAATCAGATGTACCCCACATGAGGCAGAGTGTATTCAAATTCAAATTCAAATATCATTCTAAAGGAATGAAGACGGGTGTCTAAAAAGCAGCTAAGAAAAAAGAAATGGTATTGCCTGGTTTCATGGACCTACTCCAGACTAAAGTCGTTGAGGGCGGCACATAAGCAAAGTAAAGAGCATAGGAAGCAAGAATTTTGGAGTGCGTTAGTTTATCACTTTCAAAATCCCCGTTGTCCGGGAGAGACTGGTAATAAAGAACTTATCGTAACACCTGAACAAGAAGAGTCTGTAGTCCTGGATATCAGACTCTAGACCTGTTCGCTCACTAAGTTAAAACCAGTTAGACTAGTTTAAAAGAAGCTAGATCCAGGTACGGTTCCTGGCAATTTCAGGGGATTTTTGTGTGCCGGAATCCGACTTTCGGCATTCTTTAAACTAGTCTAACTGGTTTTAACCATGGGGTTTCATGGACTACTCCAGACTAAAGTCGTTGAGAGCGGTTCTTTCATTTAAGCTTTAAAGTTTAAAGAGCATTAGGGAAGCAAGAATTTTGGAAGTGCGTTAGTTTATCACTTTTCAAAATCCCCGTTGTCCGGGAGAGCTAAAGAGACTGGTAATAAAGAACTTATCGTATCACCTGAACAAAAAGAGTCTGTAGTCCTGGATATCAGACTCTAGACCTGTTCGCTCGTTAGGTTAAAACCAATTAGACTAGTTTAAAAGAAGCTAGATCCAGGTACGGTTCCTGGCAACTTCAGGGGATTTTTGTGGGCCGGAATCCGACTTTCGGCATTCTTAAGGAACCTGAAAAAAATTCTAAATAGCCTTGTCCATTGTAACACAAATCCGAGCCTATTTTTCAATAAATCATTTCTGTTTAATGTCCCATTCATAGTGTTTTTTTTTACTTAAGCTTTTCCAATACGTCATCACCGTTTTAAGGCTACTTGAGCACTAAAAAGAACAGAAGAAGCTTTGGAACAGAAGCACTAAAAATTTACGAAACTTGTTTGGTGATCAAGTTCAAATAAAAAGCCAAAGACGTGAGGATAATTGTCATCACAGAAAGGAGAAAAAGTTGATCAAATGATCTAAGAAAGGCATTAATCCCATTCCATGCAAGATGGATGAGAAAAAAGCGACAATTCCACAGAAAAAAATAAGTGGTTCAGTTTTTGTTTAGATCTTAAACTTTTGATGATAAATGTTGCCTTAGTTGTTAGCAGCTAAGCCTGGACTTTTCAAAGGTCAATCCGATTTCTGGATTGATCAGTCTGAGGCGAAATAGACAATGCCTGTAAGTAAGATGAGAAAAATCGGGAATTGTTCAAATATCAGTGGTGAGAGTAAACAAGAAGAGCCTTGTAACATTCACGAGTGTCGATATCCGAAGAAAGAAACGATTTCAACTGGGACATGTCAAGGAAGAATCGTTCTTCCCTGCGATCTCATGGAGAAATTGTACTTTGGACAACGACAAAGAGATGGTTTGTAGAAAAAGCTTTGAGTATTTTGTAATTGGTGCACTAGAAATGATGTTTTTTGATTTTTAAGCCCAATTTTGAGCCTCGTTAGACATTGGCGATCGATATTGTGAGAGGAGCATCTATGATAAGGGGTGTGTGATATAAAAGAGAAGGCAAGTTTTTGACTATCTGCTTCTTTTAAATCTTGAATTTTGAATCTAATAGTGAAGATATTGAAAAGCCTAGCTGTGACACGATTTTATAGAACTTTAAGAAGTACTAGCAACCGATTGGCAAAGTTGATCGTGTGATTTCATGAAGATATAGATTTAACTTCAGATTTAAACACTTCGAAGCCCTTGACTGAGAGATTTAAATTGAGTTTGCTTTTCATTTCTTTTTCCAGATTTCAGACATTTCAGCTTTCATAGAACTTATAGCTAATTTCCAAATAATAAAGATTCCACAAAATCCAAATAATCCAGTTCTCCAAAGCGCACAAAAGGCCCGTGACATGTTCCAAAAATGAGCCATGGAAGAGAAAAAAAGAGCGATTTTATCAAGAAAAAAAACTTGTGCCAGTCATTGTCATCAAAGCTATAAAAAGGATTGCTCTTTTGATCTTGATAAAGCTGATCGTGTGATTTCTAAATCTATGCCATAAAGGTATAGATTTAGAAATCTGATAAGAATGATATAGATTTAGAAATCTGTATCATTCTTATCAGATTTTTAGAATAAAGTTCCAAAAATATTGCTTTAACTGCCATTTCCCGTTGTTTCGTTGAACTTTGGTGGCGCTTGATGAAAATGGTGATTGAAGGGAATATCTCTTTCTTTTATAAGCACAGAAAAAAATCTAAATTGCAACAAATGCCAGTTTTGAGAGTTTTTTGCAGATAAGCAGGACTTGATACTTTCAAATAAATTAGGCGTGCGATAACTACTTTTCATGTCTCAAAACTATCGGGACCACTTTTTGGAAAAGAAGTTATTGCAAGCTTAATTTATTTCAAAATCTCAACAGTTATGTAGAGAATTGTAGCCCTTAATCTTGACTACATTTCTCTACTAAAAAGTTCCCAATTAGATTTATACAACTCATTTAACAAGTCCTTGAAGAAGCACTAGTCTCCCTATTCAATGCCCTACCATTTTTCTGCATAACGATTTGAGCTGTATAGATCCGATTGGAGAATTTTTAGCAGAGAAATGTAGCCAAGATTAAGGGCTACAATTCTCTATATAACAGTTGAGATTTTGAAATAAATTAAGCGTACGATAACTGCTTTTCCAAAAAGTTGTCCGGATAGTTTTGAGACATGAAAAGTAGTTATCGCACGCTTGATTTATTTCAAAGTATCAGGTGTTAGATAGTGAAATATAGCCCTTAATCTTGGCTACATTTCTCTATTAAAAACTTTCCGATCGGATGTATACAGCTCAAATTGTTATGTAGAAAAACATCAAAAATGGCAGCACTGGATAGAGATCGACTAGCGCTTCTTCAAGGACTTGTTAAATGAGTTGTATAAATCTAATTGGGAACTTTTTAGTAGAGAATTGTAACCAGTATTAAGAGCTACAATTCTCTATATAACAGTTGAGATTTTGAAATAGATTAAGCTTGCAATAACTGCTTTTCCAAAAAGTTGTCCGGAGTTTGGAGACACCCTGTAAAGTTATCTCCTAATGCATGAAAGAACATTGTGAATCTAAAAATGCATTCCATATCAAAAAAGGTAATAGTTTTTGGGAAAAGCCATTTAAAATTCCCGAGCCAAAGCCAGATTTAGATCAAGCAGAGTCTAGGTGCAACCAACCAAGTTTTGACTTGTCATTGAATTGTAATTTGTCATGGCTTTTCTTTCGAAACCCATGAATTTAACTTTCTCCTCCTTCCTCATTTTTAAATCCTCTAAATGTTTCAAATAAACAATTTGATAGATTAGCCAAAGCTTTGTCCATGAAAAATTTGCAATCGAAGATTTTTCTTGTTTGATTTAAAGCCAATCTCAATCAATTCCCTTATTCTCGCTCTAGAAATAAGGAAGACTCATTTGAGCGCAATTTGTCAACTAATTGACAATCAAAAACCACAAACTTGGAACCGTCAATTTTATCTGCATCAAGTGGGATCAGGTTCTGCTTAAACTTTCCCCAAAAACCTCAAATGAAAGTCGATTAGATTTGGCACAAATAAAGACTAGTGAGAGTGATTGTCATCACAGATTCGTAAGAACAAAAAATGATTCTTGCGTAAAAATGAGAGAGAACATCGATCAGTTGAACTTGAGTCTTTATCGTTTTATTGGAGCATTTTGTGTTTGGGTTCTTTCGTAGCAAAGTTGTGTTATTTTCGTATTTTGTGTTACCAGCAAGACTTGTTAGATTAGTAATAGCTCTTTTGCTCTTTCGAGTTTAAAAAAAACTACCGGATCTCGTTAAATGTTACTATAGTT